TCTCGGTCGCGGTTGCGAGAGCTCTTTCGTGTGTGTGCTCGCCCCTCGAGTGTGAGGTTCTTACGGACGAGGATTGCCCTGCAGGCCTCATCTCGGACCCCTGCGGGTAAGCTGCGCTAGTTTCTCTTTCTCCTCTTTTTTTCCCCCCTTTTTTTTACCCTTTTCTTTTCTTTCCTCCTCGTCCCTGGAAATCGCTCTTCATCGTTCGCAACATGTAAAAATAATTCCACGCGATACATACCGTCTATACATGAATCTATATATCTATGCAGGTATGTGCAGGCGAGTGCACACGTACGTTTCGCTCGAAACACGGACGTCACAACGGGGCCACGATGCAAAAGAGACTTTGTCGGTCTGGACGCTACTCGATTTTCAATCGGGACATTCGAAGCTAGACTTGCTTAGCCTTTTAGCTACGGCTCGACCAGCCAGCAAGCTATACCTCTGTGCAGAGAGGTTTGACGCGGTGTGTGTAAATGTAATATCACTGCGATTCGAGACTGATAGAATTGTCCACTGGTGCGTTGGATTGAATCGTAACGTGCATAAATATCGACGACAGAGAAAGAATCGCGTTACAGCGGTGTACCGTTCGAAAAGATGATACACGCGAGAGCTGCTACAGCGGCGTACAGTAGCTAAAAGGTTACGGTAGCCTAGACTTTGAAGGATACAAAACTCCGCAGTGTTCTCCGGTAAACTCGCTTCGCCGCTGTTGCGAACACCACCGCGAAAAGGCGAGCGAGTCTCGATGTTCCGCGACAATGTCCTTCGAATCGCGAACACGGTAGACAGTGGCTCGTTCGGCTGCGACGTTTTTCGTTCGAAATCCGTACCTACGTGTGCATCTTCGTCCGCGACGAGTTCTTACGGAGTATATCGACTTAATTGACCGAAAAACTCCAATTTGGAAGCCGGAAGGCAAGAGCGAATGTAAGGGTTTGTCGAGACGTCTTCTTGCAGCGTTTCTCCTCCGCGAGAAATACAATTCTCGCGAATGTTAGTTTTTCGCGAGGTTGCATGGCAAAGCCGGCCTTTCCCCGCGCGCTGTAATCATTCCGGAGGATCGCGAGCAATTAAAATCCGCGGTACAATAACGGCTCCCGTTCTCTCCTCCGGCAACGCGGAAGAAAAAATTCTGTTCTTTGTCGCGCAGCCCTCTTTGTCTAAACGCCGCGAGCGGATTTTATTCCGGTGCTCGTAGGGTGTCGATGGAAAATAGGGCATGATAAAGCGAAGCTGGCGTGTGCACACACGTACGCGCGTGCACACGTTCGAATCGGGAACGATCAAAAGCGTCGGTCATCGAAATTTTATGCTCCCCTTTCGCCTCGACGGTCGATCCGTTCATTGTCCGCGGTCGTGTTTAACGCGTGTCACTCCAATTTAGCGATAAATAAAACCAATCGAGGGGTTATGCTATACCGGACGGACACTTCAGTTCGACCCCGCGCGATCGCGACGCCGACCCCGGTCCGAATTTCCTTCGGTGTTAATTCTCCGGGCGCGTTCCCACCGGAGAGATCGGCGCGTTACCCGGGCCAACGGGGGAGCGTAGATCGGAATCGTAGCGGTAAACCTCTGGAAAGCTGTGAAAACTCCGGGCGAGTGACGTACCATCGATAGACGATAAAAGAGTTATCTCGGGTAACGGACCGCCACCCGTGGACCCGCGCGGAATAAACATTTTACGACACCGGGCCGAAATCGACCTCTTCAAAGATCCGGCCCGGCCGGCCAATCGACAACATCGATGGCGAATTCTATCAGGAACACGGAATTTCGGATGATCGAAATCGAAAAAGCCTGATACACCGCTCGAAGCGGCTTAATCGAAACGCTTTTGGGCGAACGGCGACTCTTTTTTTCCGCTGCAAGCACCACTTTAACCGCCTTTGCGTGCCAGCGACGAATAATTTCGTTTCGAGCCATCGCATTGGCATAAACGCGCTCAAAGCTTTGAACTCGGCGCGACGCGATGCGATACGGCGCAACACGGCGCGACCCGTCGTTTTTCCATGGGGAACGCGAGCTCGAACTCGGACAAACTCGTCTCTCGAGCGTAGAAACCGCACTACCCCGGGAAACACGCGAAACCACGATTTCGTCGTTAAAACGCTTCCTCGACTGTTGTCGGAGGAACTCTTTTTCTTGCGATTTGATTTTCCTTCTTCGTCCGCGTGCGTACACGTGGCGTATT